CCATACGCGCTGGTCCAAGCCCAAGTCTTCCCAGGGCCTGCCCTGTGGCAAGCCTGGGTGCCATCCTCCTTGACGTGGCCTTCCACCTCCTCGATGTGGGGACCGACAAGATCCTTGACGATTTAGCGGGGGACCTTGACCCCTACCTCCCACTTGGCGGTTCCCTTGTCCGCCAACCCCCTGTGCGCCTGGTCCTCGGCCTCCCATGGCCTGGCCCCTTTGGCCCTGGCCTCCTCCTCTACTTTGCGGCCTCCCTCCAGCCGCGACAGCCGCATAGGACCTCCCCTGCCCCACGTTATTGTACTCCTCCTCGAGGCCCCACTCAATCTGACTATAAGGGACCTCATCTGTACCACCTTCCTCTAAAGTAAGGATCATATGATCCTTGGCCCGTACTTGGCCTGAGATGGTACGGCCCTTCCACTTCTTCCCCTTGTCTAGGTCCTTATGCCAGAAAGTGGTAACTGGTATGGACTTTGACTCATACAGGACCACTTCCCTACTCAACGCATCATAAGTGATGCCGACCTGTTGAGACTTGTCAAAGAAGTGCCCACGCAGGGCCTCTGGCATGGCACGATAAAACAATTGGACCAACTGGGGCTCAGTGACCCCATGGTCTGGGACGACTACTAAGTCGTCCATGACGCCCTTGAGTGCTGTTGCACTCCTCCACCGTCGCGAGTGGATCGTCTGCAACTTATCAGAGGCCCTGACACCTCTCGTTGGATCAGCAAATCGCTCCCTCAGGAACTTGAAGAATTGAGGACCCATCATGTCATCTAGATAAACAGAAAAGACTAAAAAGTTAAGGGGAGTGACTTTAGAATAGGCAACCAGGTTGTTTTCACAACGTGCTGCGCGCGCAAGGGATCTGGCAAAACTGGCCGCTTCATCTTTGAGGGCCTGGAAAGCTACGAGGACTTGCTCCTCTGTCAGGATATGTTGCAAGTACACATAACTGTTGACACTGGCCTCGCAGTTGTCAAAGTTCTCCTCCTTCTTTCCCCCGTATGCATTTGGGAACTTGAGCTTTACGGGCTCTTTACGGGGTCTGGCCTCGCCCTCTACAGCGGCTATCGCTTTGGCACCTTCAATGGCACCTTCGCAGAACTTTCCCACGTTGTCTCTCAACTTCCTGACTTCTCCCCCAACGTGGGTAACCATATCGCGAGCAAAGTCCCTAAACCCCGACCGCATGGCACTCAGGGCTACCTCTCGACTCCAACTGGCTTTGCGCTCCCCCATCCATGTTGCGCTCAGCACCTCCAGGTACCGCAACACCTTATCCCATTTGGCCTTGTCGTCTGCCCGGGCCTCCACTTCCTGCCTACAATCCTTCACCTTGGCCACCTCTGCGATCAGCCTATTGACTTCCTCCCTCCTTCTCTTCTTCTCCCTCTTCATTCTCAATTTCCATTCCAACTTTTGGTCCTCTTCTCTTTCTCGCCGTTCCATGGGGTCCTCCATTGCCATTAGCTCCCTGGCTAACGCATCTCTCTCATCCTGAGGCACATAAGACTCCGCCTCCTCGTCTTCCCCCAATGATAAATTAGCAACCCACTCACTTATCTTCCTCTCCATTTATGCGTCTTCATCCTTTTTCGTGCCACTGCTCCCCTCTCTACTCTCAATACGCATCCGCTCTTTTGCTTTTTCTGCTGCTGCTTCCCCTTCGGCAGCCTTTCTCCTCTCTTCTTCCTCCTGCTGAACTCTCTTCATCTCCTTCTCCAGTTTCTTCATCTTTGCCGCTTGCTCCTCTGCAATAGCCTTTAGCTTTGCCTGTTTCTGGAGCTCTTTCCTCTCTTTGTTTTCTCTCACTAAGGCGGCCATCTTCTCTTGTTGTTCCTGGGTGTAGGGGCTAGTGCTCGTCCCACTACGGGTCTCAACCATGGTGTCAGTGCACAACCGGATTAGCGGTTCCAAACCTCACCACGTAGACTCTAACCCCTGACTGACAAACCTACAGACTCAATCTAAGACTCACAGAATCCAGACAGGGATCCTGCCAACTAGGATCTCTAGCCTAGACCTATACTATGGCTGTCGCTACTAGACCTGTTGCTGATCAGGAGGCATTTAAGGAGATCCCCTGTAACTCCTCAGGAATTATTTAACGTCGCAGACAGGACGACGCGATCAGCAGGTCTCTCAACACTTAGACAGCCTATTGTGAAGCCCACAGCTCGGATTTTGGTGAACAAAAAAAAAAAAAAAGAAAGAGAAGGAAGATAGCAGGGTGAAAGGAGGCGAGGAAGGTGAAGGGAAGAAGGAGGTTGGTGAGGGAAAGAGAAGCCGGCAGCCATAGCTGACCGAAGGGTTGACCAGGAGAGTTGACCGGAAGTGTTCACCGACGTTGACCGGAGTTGACCGGGGGTTGACCGGGAGTTGACCGCAGCGTTGACCGGCATTGACCAAGGCGTTGACCAAGACTTTGACCAAGCTGGAGTTGGTAAAATCTCGCCAAGCCTTCAGCCTACCCCTCGCCCTATGGATGTGCACACACCCTGTGGTACTTGCTGAGTCCAGTTAGTCTGTCTCTTCTTTCTGCATTGAGTCTCTTCTGTCTAGGTGATAGTACTCTGTGGATGAAGGATAGGGCCTTGTTGACCAAACCCACACGGGCTGAGTAGGGCTAAAGACTGTGTCTGATGACTCGACTGTCCCGGAGGACACGAACCCTCCCAAGGACCGGTACTGACCGGCGGGCTGCTTTCCTCTCCTCAGCTATGGTTTCTCTCCCCCTTCTCGGTCTCTCCCCCTCTGTTCTTTCTCACCCTCCTTCGTTACTCCGTGGTGACGCTTCGCGGCTAT